AGATATAATATATAAATGTACGATTCTAAAGAATTTAAATTGACTTGCCCATCTCCTACTGATATGACAAATTGCATGTTATTGTTTCATATCATCTCGTGTCGTGTCATGTCCATTGTAGTGTCTATTTCCGTGCTTCTTAGATGTTCTGGAATACCTTTATTTGTGTCTGAACCCAAAAGCTTTTGCTTTTGCTTTTGCAGTTAGCAAACACGTAAATATGCTTAAAGATAAAAGCTGCTAAATACCAGCATACTGTAAATGTGGCTTAGAGTGCCAAGAATTCCCGAAGAATGACATGAAAATGAAAAATCACCTTTTCTCCATAAAACTTCTCCTGATGCTAATGTTCCCATAAAAATATAAATTTTTTGGTTATAGGTTTTACAAAAAGCTTTGGAGGTGACCCTAGACGTTCAGTAAGGTGACCACAGTCCTGTGGCCGAGCCTGCTCAGATTGACCCAGAATCAGAGAATGCATTTATTTGTCATTTGGAGGACCATTGGTTTTGCATCAGGAAAGTAAGTGGAGAGTGGTACAATTTTGACAGTCTCTATGCGGCACCCGAGCACCTCTCTAAGTTTTACCTTTCAGCCTACCTCGATTCCTTGAAAGGCTTTGGTTGGAGCATTTTCCTTGTCCGGGGAAACTTTCCGAAGGAGTGTCCCATGACATCTTCGGAAGCTTCCAATGGTTATGGGCAGTGGCTATCACCCGAAGATGCTGAGAGGATCACCAAATCTTGCAACTCAGCATCAAATCCTGGAGCTGGTCGAATGCAGCAGCTTTCCGATCCCCGTGTCCAGTATAGTGATGAAGATGAGGATTTAAAGGCTGCAATAGCGGCCAGTTTGATGGATTCCACTACGGAAATCAAAGCAGAAGTTGGCACCTTGGAAAATGAAAATAAAAATACCAATTCAGAAGCGTCGTGAGAGAATTTTCTTTTTTGTTTTAAGTTTAACGGTGGCCGGTTTTTATTCCCTGCATGAGTTATGCACTGTACATTTATTATTTGAGAAAGACATTGCATTTGACTTGGTACATTAAAGATTTATTTCTTAAAAATAAAGGCCATATCCAAGAATTTCACCATAGTTTTTCCCCAAGATCATATCCCTCATCATTGGATGTATGTCATTTTGTGCATAAGATCTTAGTTTGATCTGAATGATGCAATTATAAGTCCTTGTGAACAGAAAGATTGGATCGGAATTTGGAGAAACAAGGAACTCGAGCCGATGCTTGTAATCGCTTCATTTTATTTTTGGCTTGCACATTTTCTTGGTTCCTGTTTTTTCGTCATGCCCTTTGCGCTCTCCCATCTGCTGCTATTGGAAGCCAGATAGCATTGCCCAACAAGAGGGGAAAAATGAACTTCAATAAAATCATCAAAAAATTTTCTTTAGCGGAGTTCCTTGACAATATCATCAAAAAAACATTAGCAGATAATGTTTATTAGTTTAAATAGCAGAAGACATGGTTAAGCCACGAAAAATCAGCAAGACTATTTAATGAAATAAGTGGATTAACTAGTCTTAGACACTTCCAAAGCCTGGTGGTGCATCATGACTTCCAGTACCATAGTAGGGCCCGCTCTGTTGAAACTGTGACGAGGCTGGTGGAGGTAAAGGTAGTGGAGGCAATATTCTATTGCCATCCCTCGGGTCCATAAAATTTCCAGTCTGCCTCTGTTCTACCCCGTTGGTGGCTGAAGGTAAAATGCCCATATTCTGTCCATAATCACCTTGAAAGAATGTTATTCCTTGAGGATCAGATGCATTCATGAAACCATCTGCAGCAGGCCCCATACTCCAGGTTCGAGGGTAATTTTGTACAGGATTAAATGCTCCAGCAGAACCTGGTGGGAAACCTAAGAGCGAACCGTGTTCTGGTCCGACTTCTGGTGTTGAAACTGGCCTCGCCATGTCATGGGGAGTGCCAAAGAATTGTTGGGTTCCATCAAGAACAGAGGGGGCATAACCAAATTGTGAGGAAGCAAGGACTGGGTTTGGATCGATCGGCACTGCAAAAGTTAGGAGGTTCATGGAAACTCATATTCTATAGAGAAAGGAGATTCAGATACAGTTGTTTATTTCTTGTCAAGAAACTTACCTGAATCTTGCTGCAGGACAACCTGTGAGTCAAAAGCTTGCTGAGGAAATCGGTTCTGGGGACCAACCCTGTCAAACACTTGGGATTGGTTACCATCAAGTCGCTGCTCTGGTGTATGACTTAGGACTGGTCCAAAAAATAGCGGCATGGGCGTTGAATACGAAACTAGCCCTGGAGATGGTTGGTCTCTGGATTGGGGATGTTGTTCCTTAGGCTCATGATCATGATGGGAATTCGAATTAGGGTAAACAACTGGTTTTGGTGGTGCTTGAACTGTGGAATCAGAGGCAGAAGATTTTCTGGCACTGATAGTTTCTAACTTGTTTCCTTCTTTCTCCGTATTGGGAGGAAGGTCTTCAGCATGATTCTCTTTCATATGAGACAGAAATTCAGATGTCTCGACAAATGACTTGAAACAACGAGTGGCTGCGCAGATGAAGATTCCTTCCATCAGTTTGATTGTCTGAATCTTCTGAATGCGCTCATCACATCTGTATCAAGATGAAGTAGCTTATATTAACTCTCAATGTCATCCTAACCAAATACCAATTTTGTCAATACGAAGAAAGTTTATCACAATCTAGGATGCACAACACTCTCCCAACGCTTGTGAATCGATGTCGGACATGTAACCCCACACGTGTCAAACACCTACACGATGCCAGCAAATGTAAAAAAAATGTCAAGTGGCATGTCCAAATTATTTTTTTGTTTGGTACAATTAAATGTGTCGCTGACACATTGCCAACAAAATGGGAAGATATATCATATCGGACACTGATACAGCGACGCTGACATGTATTGAGAACGCTGGGTCGCGTGTCCATATTTTATTTTGGTTTTGTACCATTGGACATGCTGCTGACATGCTACAGAATACATAGCTGGCGTATCAGAAAATTATGTTGTCGACATGTCGGAATTAACAAAAATAAAATATATTCTTTACGATACAAAAAATTAAAAATTAAAACAAAAAAATTAATATTATTTTAATCAGCTGGTCGAGAATGAGTCAGGTTTGAATTTTTTTTTTTAAATGGCGTGTTGCCGTGTCCATGTCGGTTCTTTCTAGATCACAATTATGACGAGCCACTATAATATCATACTATGTAGTCAAAAGAAATATAGCTTACAAGTAACAAAGAGAATCACTTCTAGCACAGTCCAAACAGAAGGCATGTTCACATGGGCTCTGCAATAACATAAGATTGTCAACACGTAAGATAAAAGAGAAAAATGTAGAGCAAATTAAGATCATGTGATTGCTTAAATTTGCATAAAAAGCCAATATTATAAAGCAAGCAAAATATGCATCTCAGGAAAGAAAATGATCCTAGCCCACAATGCAAAATATGTAAGCAAATGATTGCAGAATCCATGATTAAAGAGTTGGCTGCTAATAGATATAAATATCCAACTGAGGAATTATGAATCACTCTTGATAGACTTTAAGCTTAAATTGGTAAATGATTATTAAAATTACGTGGAGTGTATCTAACGAAAGACATTTCCTGTAACTATTTGAAAGTGTTGTAAGACTTGTCTAATGAAGGTTTAAATTGAAGATATTATCTTCTCAATTAACTTATTTATTGGAATTAAATTTAACATCAGACTTGTTTGCTCAATGTGAGCTAATTTTATTCTCTGAATTTTGCTTTCAAGCAGATTAATTCTATAAATAATTGGGCACATAAAGGTTGTTATGGATATCCATTCGAATTGTTGAATTCAGATGCTGAATGACTTATAGGGAGTTCATTCATCAAGTAAAGATGCAACTTAGAAAGTGTTGTGCTTGTGACACAGAAAGGGTCGACTGAGATAACACAACTTCCATGATTAAAGTATCAAACTAAAGGGTTTGTTTAGGAGAGTTCTTTCTTAAAATCATTTTTAAAAAAAATACATTTTTCACTTGGAAAAATCTCCCAAAAACAAATGCAAAATGTATAGCCATAATAAATGATCATCTTCATGTATTTTAGCCGTGGACCAAGTGCGAAAATATAATTTTTTTATGACCCACACATTTGGAAATTTGAAAATAACACCAACTTCCTTAATAAGATTGAAAGCTATGTTAAACTAAACCACCTTGAAGAAAGAATTTGATATAATTGAAGTAAACCAAATAGTCCATCAACTATCTAAAATCTCTCCTACATATATTTTCTCAAAAATCCCATGTTCTTATTTCCATAACAAAAGGCACTCGAGTGGAATAGGCTAGAAGGCTTGCCGGTTAGTGGCTGCTAACATCAACTAAAATCTTAAATAACATGGATAGAAATATGTATACATTTCAAAATCTAAAATAACTTAAGAAGTGCAGAAGAAAGAAAATAAACATAACACGTACCAGACGCCCATATATAGCAATAGGGAAGTCGCAGCGGACGCAAAAATGAGTTCGCTCCCCAGGCTGACGACGGGATCTGCGACCAGCAATCTTGATGATGGAAGTCCCAGTTGCCGACCCGAGACCCTTGGCTACAGGAAGATCGGCTAAGACAAGATGCTGAGGACATGCAACAGTAACAGTTTCCGCTGACAAGGGCTTTGCAACCCCAACACCTTCGCTGGATGGCTTGCTAAGCCGAATCTGCAGCATCTTTTCCCAGATATTGTTATATCACTCTTTGCCCTTCAAATCGGACAGCTAACGTTAATTCTTCTGGCTTTCTGCAGAGAATCAGGAGTAAGCATTCTTCCCAGCTACAGAAACAGAAAGCATGATGATAAATTGACACAAAAAAAGGGGAAATACTGATCATTCAATTTTAATTAACAATTATCAATACACACTTGCATATATGAACAAAATTTTGACTGCACACTTTTAAGACATTAATTACTTAAAAGTCATTCTTGAAATCTGGAAACAGCATTGAACTTGGATCATTAGGAAATCAACAACATTAAAATGCTCCACAGCACATTGAACTTAAAAAGAAAAAAATTCATGGATTAAATTTGAAGACGACCCTGGAATCTGTGCCTAATAACTCAAAATCGAAGTACCCAAAGTTATCAGACAAAATAATTTGAGAATTTTCCTCACACTTTGTCTCACTATTATGAAAGGCATAATTTCCCTATTACAAGGAAAATCCCCTAACCTCATCAAAATCAAAAGAAACAAGAATAAGCTGCAATTAAGAAATTCTTAGTAGGATCGTGTGTGAGAAAAGCTCACATATTAATGCTAAGCTTCACTGTAAAAAACTCGTGACCCGTTGATGAAGAACCAAATAACATTGGCTTGAGAAATTGGATTCTATTGGATATGAAACTAAACACCAAAATCTAGCCCAGAGTTAAATAGTCTCAATTGGATACGAAGGCATTTTATTTCCGTGAGGCAAACCATGGGCGGAACCACCAGGGGTCTAGTGGGGGAAACTGCCCTCAC